TTCAGCAAGCAGGGTTGTATCATCTGCATAACGCAGATTGTTGATAGATCTTCCACCAATCTTGACCCCACATTTCTCCTCATAGAGCCCAGCCTCCAGGATAATCTGTTCTACATACAAGTTGAAAAGGTATAGAGACAAGACACATCCCTGGCATACGTCTTTCCCAATTTTGAACCATGCAGTGTTTCCTTGCTCTGTTCTGATGACTGCCTCTTGTTTCAAGTATAGGCTTGCTGCAGAGGGTCAAGGACTGCAACCTCCAATATGGATTGAGGCTCAATGTCAAGAAGACAAAGATTCTAACCACTGGGCAGATTGGCAGCATCAGGATGGATGGTGAAGAGATTGAGCTTGTTCACAGCTTCAGTTTACTTGGCTCCACAGTCAACATTCTTGGCACCAACAGCCAGGAAGAGATTGTCCCTCCTACTCCAGAGGAGCATCTGGTGGATTCAATCTACGAGTATGCCAAACTCTGTAAGTAAATCAATTAAACTACAAAGAAGCTGAAGAAATGTTGGAAGTTTGTAGTGGTGGTAAGAAAGTTACATTAAGTAAATCAAACCTACATTTAAAAAAGAAAGAAGGAAGGAAGAAAAGAAAGAGATACTGCAATATAATACGTTGTTGTTAATAAATGCTCTCAGAATGTTTCCAACTCATGCAGACCCCATGTATATACAGCAAACCCTGCCTGACCCTTTGACATCCTCACAATCTCTCCTGTGCTTAAGTGCATCGCTTCAGTCACTATGTCATTCTCTCTTGTGGAAGTCTTACTATCTTTTACTGACTGCTTTTCCAAGCATAATTTTCTTCAGGGGTAGTCATTTCCTGATAACATGATGAAAGTATGTGAGATGAAGTTTTATCATTTTTGCTTCTAAGGAGCACTCTGGCTGCACTTCAGAGGGATTTGTTTATTCTTTTGGCAACACATAATACACACTTCTTATTCTTCACCAAAAGCTCTAGTAAAAGCTATCATTTTTTTCTTCAGTGTTCCTATTCATTCAGTACAACTTTCACTTAAATATGAAACAATTGAAAATGCTATGACTTAGGATTGATGCATCTTACTTAGTCTTAATGACTTCTCTGCTCTTTTAATATTCTGAAAAGATCCTTGACAGCAAATTTGTTCAATCTAATATGTCATTTGACTTTTTTGACTGACTCTTCCATAGATGTTAATAGTAGATCCAAATAAAATCTTTGACAATTTCAGCATCTTCTTAATTTATTATAATATTGCTTATTGAATCAATTGTGAGAGTTTGTCTTTTCTTTCTTTTTATTAAAAATTTTAATTATAATTTTAAAATTTTAAAAGTTCACAAAGTATACTGTGAGGGGGTTTTCAGGCAATCATTCATGCACATTTTGTTACATAAAATTAATTACAATGCACACAAGGCATCACCATCCAGTCATTCTGGACTGTCTTTCCCCCCATCCCAATAAAGTAGTCACTGTCTATGAATTAATTTCTCTTGATTCACATCTAAAAAGTATTCTGAATAATTCATTTAAATATTTAATATCTACTCTTCCATAAATAGAAACCACAATAAATCACTAAATTTTGAAGTATCAAATAAGAAAGTTAGTTTTTAGCCCTGAGTAACTAAGAATGCCTTATCTTTGAAATGGGTCTGCCTAGTTTAGATGAAAGCAATGATTTATTGTTTGAGGGATTTGCATACAAATGGAAAAACTATCTTCATAGTTATAATTTTTTTCTTACAAAATAAAAGTGTCATATATCTGTCATTTGATTGAATATAGGCAAGAAGATACTGATTTGATAACCCACTAAATTTTTATATCTCAGAAATCCTAATTAATTCTTCAAAATCCAAATTAGTCATCACTTTCTAAGTGATTCCCAAACCATGGTCCACTTACCTGCATATTTAACACACTCTCTTTGTAATGCACATGTGTCATTATTAGTGAGTTTACAGCTGCCTGATAATGCTTTTAAGCACCCCCCTACTTGAATGGTTCCTTAAGAAAGCAAACATATTCCCCATATGATAATTTACTTTGTCATTCAGCACAGAGACATGTCCCCTGTAAGACTCTGAATCAGAATTTATAAAAGTAGCTACCTCCTAGGAGGAACAGAAAATAACCCACAGGGTAAATAGGAGGGGATTCACAGGGACAGAAAGTGATGCTACCAAGCCAAAGGTGGGTGACTTTTTTTTTTGTTCAGACATTCTTCTAGGTCGTATAGCCCTGGTGTACAAATTGCCATACAATGGTCACTTGTGGTTGCTGTGAGGCTGAACACTGTGGCACTGATGTGTCAAATGCGTTAATGGCTGGTTACCCAATACGGACAGAGTGGGTTGGAGCTCCCCAATTAAAACAAGCTTGGAAGGAGGAGTGACATGTATTTCCATAACAGCTTGCCTCCAGAAACCCTATGTATGAACCTGAAGAGAGGATGAAAGGCACCCAAGCCGAGGACTCTCCTTCATAGGGTCGCTATGAGTTGCCTGCGACTCAATGGCACTTAACAACAACAAGAAGAAGCTACCTCAGAGGAGGAACAGAAAATAACCCACAGGGGAAATAGGAGGGGGTTCACAGGGTGAAAACTTAAAAGCAAAAATCACGATGAGGATCACAATGAGCCCATCACATGTGGAAATAAACAGAGTACGGTAAAAGGAAAATGAGAATAAGCAACTCTCCTAGAATAGCGAGAAAACAGAGTAGACAAGTAGAAATGGGGCAAATCTATATGCTCCAATAAGTTGATGAAGGTTTAACTTAGATTGAGAAGAAGAAAGAAAAGAAGGGAAAGAAAGGAGAAAAGAACAAAAGTCCACCTAGCTCCTACAGAATCTAAAAAAACAATAATAAATTTTTTAAAAAGCAGAAATTTCTTCAGGCCAAATAAAACTGAGACAAGAGAATACTAAGATATATGTTGGTAATTTTAAAATATTATTTCAAGAGTCAAAATAATTTTCTTGGAAACCAGACAGAGAGGAGATTCCAAAAAAACCAACTAAGAGAAAAAGCAAAATTTTGGTTTGACATCAGGTTTTTCTGAAAATGAAACACCAAAAGGCAGCAGTGTGACATGTGGAGAATTTAAAGGATTAGGGAATCTAGAGATACACAATCTTTTGTTCTTATTCAAGGCAGCAGAAAGTTTCTCAGAAACTGTTGTTGTTGTCGTTATAATGTGTTGTCAAGGTACCTGTGACTCATAGCGACCCTATGTACAAAGTCCTATACTTTACTCTATTTTATGCCAATCTCACTGTCTCCGACACACCTACCCTCATTACCCCAGTCACTGAATCAGTCTACCACATAGATGGTCTTCCTCTCCTGTGTTGTCCCTCCACCTTCCCAAGCATGACATCCTTCTCAAAGGACTTGTCCCTCCTTACAACATATCCAAAGTATGTCAGACAAAGCTTCAGAATCCTTGTCTCCAGGAAGCAGCCTGGTTTAACACTCTCCAACCTGTTAATTTTCTTAGCAGTCCATGGTATATTCAATATTCTTCTCCAGCACCACAGCTAAAAGGCATCAATTCTCCTTCTATCCTCCTTAGTCATTGTCTAGCTCTGATGCATAGCAAGTCATTGCAAAAACCATGGCCTATATCAGGCACACCTTAGTTTCCTGAGTGACACCATTGCTCTCAGTACTTTGATGAGGTCCCTAACAACAGACTTGTCCATTGCAATACGTCTTTTAATTTCCTGGCTGCTGGTGCCAAGGGTGTTGACTGGATCCAATCAAACTAAAACTATTAATAATTTCAATCTCTTCACCATCCATCCTGATGCTGCCAACTAGCCCAGTGGTGATAATCTTTGCCTTCTTGATATTGAGCCTCAATCCATATTGAAGGTTGCAGTACTTGACCTTCTGCAGAAACTAGAGTGCAAAACTCAAACAAAACCTTAAAACTCATTGCCATGGAGTCAAAACCAAGTCATTGTTGACTATGCAGCAGGTTCCCACAGGCTGTAATCACATGGGAAGAGATTGTCCATTTCTCTCCTACAAAGAAGCAGGTGGATCAGAACTGTCAGAGAGGTGCAATTTTAGCAATAAAACTCCTTAAGGAAAGCACTCACAGAATAAAAAGGATACTAATAAACCTATACTTGGACCAAGAGGCAGTCATCAGAACAGAGCAAGGAAACACTGCATGGTTCAAAACTGGGAAGGGCATACGACAGGGATGTGTCCTATCTCCATACCTTTTCAAACTGTATGCAGAACAGATTATCTGGGAGGCTGGGCTCTATGAGCAGAAATGTGGGATCAAGATTGGCGGAAGATCTATCAACAATCTGTGTTATGCAGATGACACAACCCTGCTTGCTGAAATTGAGGAGGACCTGAAGCACTTGCTGTGGAAGGTCAGGGACTTCAGTCTTCACTGTGGATTGAGATTCAGTATCAAGAAAACAAAGATTCTCACCACTGGGCTGATTGGCAGCATCATAATGGATGGTGAAGAGATTGAGATTGTTCACAGTTTTGGTTTGCTTCGATCCACAGCCAACACTCGGCACCAGCAGCCAGGAAATGAAAAGACGTGTTGCTATGGGAAAGTCTATGGTTAGA